GACTGCATTATAATATACTGAGGCATAAAAAGTCATACGATAGTATAGTAAGGCATTAAAAGGTCATAGGATAGTAAGGAATAAAAAGTAATAGTTTAGTAAGGCATAAAAATGTCATAGTGCGATAAGGCATTAACCTCAAATGTATGTCTTTGGGTGGCGGGAGGCAGCCGAAGAGAACCCACGCAGGCAGAGGGAGAACATACAAAGTCCACACAGAAAGGCTCTAGGCCTGAGGTTTGAACTCAGAGCCTTCTTACTGTATTACTGCATCACCGTGCCGCCCCATAAAAAAGTCATAATATAGTAAGGCATAAAGTCATAGTATAGTAAGTCATAAAAAGTCACAGTATAGTAAGGCAATAAAAATGTCATAGTATTCATGGTGACATTTCCATGGGATTTTTCAACAGAAATTGAACTCATACTTTGCTATAGCCACCATTTTATGTTTACTCCTGCTAGCAACCTGACTGCCTGCCTACAGAAGACAGAAACCAGTGGTAGCTTGCTGGTTAACGCTAGCTAATATGGTTGAATAACATCAGTTGTCATTTTTCTTGTGACGTTAGGTACCGGTGTGATATTCTCACATGATGTAAGCCTTCAGACAGCCCTCGCCCTTTCAGTCAATCAAATGCTAGTGTGCCTAAGTCAGTTGTCATGGAGACATAGCCTCTTTGAGGGCACATCAGAATGATCTAATATGACTTCACTCCAAACATAGTGTAAACGAGTTCACTCAAATAGTGGTAGGGACAATTCTGTCCTCCCAAAATATTGGTAGGGGCATGTCCCTACCGTCCATATGCAAACCTACGCCCTTGGTGTTGAGATCTATGAGATCTTACTGCATGTGGTGCAGATCTGACAGACATGTCGGGCTTTGCCGTAGGTATGCGTTCTACTGGGCGCCATTCTAGTGTGCCAAGTTTCCATTGCACTTTATTGCATTTTTTTTACATTGAAGCACATTTCAAGTGTGAGAAGGTTTTTTTGCAATATTTGACTGCAACTTTGTCACTAGATTTACTGACTTTTCAGACCCTTGTAGTCTTAATAGGCTGTGTTTCAGTCACCAATTCATACTTGTTCTGTTGTCTGACAGCAGAAACAGAAAAACATGTAAATTAGAACAGCTTATTGGGAATTCAACTGTATTAAAATTCTGTTTATGTGAGCACAGAGAGTAGGAGAGAAGCAAATGGATAAAGGGCTGAAAGCAGATGACACTAGGCTGAATGTACTGACATGGTCCAGCCATATTTTGACTTAATCTTGTTTCTTGAATTGCCAGCATTTCCCAAATTAAAATACACAAAACAGGTGTATGGAATCACACTTACTGTTTATCAGAAGATTTTCAAAGCTTCAAATGTAGCACAATGCCTTGTTACAGTTTGTGCTACAAAAATTTGGATGCATGGGGACATGGAAGTTGTGTGAAAATGAGGTTTAAATCAATCTGTTCCTTTTTTTTTTTTTTTAAGAAGAGTATTGTTATGAGCTCTACATGTGACACATGAACAAAGAAACAAGTCACAAAGTGCAGCTCTCCAACCTGTCGGTGTTATTTGAAAATGCTGAATTCAGAGACGAGACGCCTCAGTCTGGTTTTCATTTTTCAAAACCCATTTTCATTTATTGTGTTGGTAATGTGGACACTTTTGACTGTGACTGTGATGCGCGGCTGTGCAGAAAAACTGGAAAGAACAGTTTATTAAAAATCTAATCACAAAACAAAAATATAAAAAGAAGAGACTGTTTGTTCATCTGTGAAGCAGGTACTTTTTCTCACTGGCTTTCTCATCCAGTGTGTTTTATTGACCTTGTCAAGGGGATGCTGAGTGGACCGGTGATAGACAGCCACTTGGCTCCTTTGGGTTCAGCTGACTCCTCATTTTTATCTGCTTTTGTACTTTTCTGCTCAGCACATACTGTTTGTGTCCTGAGCCGTTTTCATCCACCACTGTCACTGCATGACAACCCAGTTTTCTTTGAGTTTCAGCTATTTGTAAATGTATTTTCAGTATGTTCAAATTTCCTAATGAGGGCCAAAGCGATGTATTGATCCGAAAGTTTTGATCCAGAGGTTTCAGTCTTTGGTTGATTGGTGGTTACAAGAACTTGTCGAGCAGCTGCTTTGTCAGAAGAGCGACTAGTGTATCTGGATCGAATTTTTGATGAATGATCACAGTCAGCACTAACCTCAGTGACAATGTGTTTCCTCTAACGGCTTCACAATAAAAACCACCCTGTGCTTCACCAGCCTCAATGCTTTTAATGTGAAGCAGCAGTAAGAAATTTTCTGTTTAGATTAACCGCAACTTAGTACAATTTGTTGTATAGCCAACATACTCAAAGGCGTGCTCAACTGCACAAGATGACAAGATGTAATCGTAGTCAGCGAACATGTAAAAATGCCTGCAAAGAGGCAGGAGCACATTGGCAGTTATACAGCATCAATCGAACTTTAGTAATCCTGTTATTTGGCTGTATACTTTTCTATAATCAGGGCCAGGGATGCTCTTTTTGATGTTTATTCTTCTCATTTTTATTTTTGTTGTTGCAAAGTTGGCAGTCTCTGTGCTTTTAATGTGAAGCAGCAGGAGAAAGAAATATTTAGTTGGCAATAACTTAATCCATACAGTGTGAATGTAAACACATTCAGTGGTCATTATAGATAAAAGTGCAGACAGGTAATGATTTAATTTCAAGAAATCCCAAGTACTGTAGCTTTTAAAATGATAATCATGTGTTAGATTTCAATAGTAGAAGTACAGAGGTTTAGAAAACGCTGCCGAACTCATTACTTGAAAATTGTAGACTGAGGATACTGTATATCAGCTGATTTTAGCTTATTGTAGATGTGTCATATTGGTGTATCTGTCAGAGCAAAAAACTAATTTTGAGGTAATCTGATAACGGCATCACTTTTGCATATGTCGCCAACCAGTAAAAAGTAAAAAATAGCAAAGTAAAATTTTTTTCAGCTGCAAAATTTTGGTCATATATCAGTCACGAAAAAGTATCACAAACCGAGAACATTAAGATGTCAAAATCTACTAGCGCCAGTTATTCACAGATATTTTGAAAACGCTGACAAACATTTCCTGTAGCTGCTTCACAATAAAAGCCACCCCGTGTTTCCCCAGTCTTAATGCTTTTTATGTGCAAACCATAAACGGTTTGATTTGAAGAAAATCATGGGTATCATAGCTTTAAACGATAATGACAAAGAAAACTCAAGTACAGAAGTTTAGAAAACATCAACAGACACTTTCCTGTGAAAACTACAAAAGAGATTGATAAACCACCCAGCCAGTATATCAGCCGATGTTCTTGCTTATTGGAGATGTTCTGCCTAGTATGTATTGTGCTCATAATTAGATTAGATAATTAGATTTTTTTAAACATTCAAATATAAATATCAGTATCAGTCTTAAGTATCTGTATACAGGTAATTAGTGAATGAAAAAACAATGAATGGCCACAAAAGGAATCAAAAGCAAGGTCTGATTTCATAAAGATCTTAAATGTAATTATTGTATTAATTAAATTTTTTTTTGGGATTAATGAGTAACACAAAGGGCAGATTTACTGTGACTGCACTTCTTTCTAGTGAAACATACTGTATATTTTGTTTGGTGTCACTGTTTTCACACGTCTTTCTTGAGTTTTGTGTACACATTTTCCCATCATGCACACCCACACTGCAGACAGGAGCCGTCTCCGAGGCGGGCACAGATGGACCCGATGCATGAGACAGGATGTGGCTAGCATCCTGTCTCATTCCACACTTTCTCATCCCTGTTAACGAGAGATGGTACAATTCTGCTGCGCCATCAGGGCTGCAAAGCCTCTCCAGACAGTCGGAGATGTCAGCTGCCGTGGGTGATGAGTGATGGACAAGTGTTGTTTGGCTTCTTTTTGGTAGCAGTGGGAGAAGGAAGGTGAGACAGATTTGCTGAGAATGGGAGGCAGCAGGCGCGACAGAGTAGAAACACATCAAGTCAGAAGGAGGATCATTAATCGGGAGGATCGTTAATCAGCTGCAGACGATCAGATCCACAAATAGCAATACTTTCCTCCTCCTCACATCCAGTTAAACGCTCTGATGATATGTCACTGACGTAGCCTCACTCACAACTTCAGGAGGGGCAGGTTTGAGTCTTCTAGGTCTGCAGCTAATTATTTTCCTTGTTTACCAGTTTTTAGATTGATCGCTCAATTGTTTACAGTCAACAAAACATCAAAAAATGGTGAAAAAATGCTTCTCACAATTTTCCCAGAGATACGGAATCGGAGAATGTCAATCAATAGACTAATAGTCTCCATTCTCTTTGATTTGCATGTCTTTGAGCTGTTGCCGCACAGAGTCCAGGCTGTTGCTGTGCAGCCGCTTGTGCAGGACGTTACCTAACTTATAATAATGATACTGTCTACAGCAAGAAAAAATATTCAAGATCTTTTAAAACCTTCCAAGTCGTCTTTTTGAGGGAACTAAATTCACTGCTTTTTAATACTTTTCAATACCTGCGGAAACCCTGATTGCTAAAATCTGTTTGTGACATTAACTCATTATTTTATAGCAGTTCATGTATTCATTTGTTTTAATTTTGTTATTATTATTATTATTATTATTATTATATGTTTAAGACTAAAATAAATATCAAAATTCAAGCCCAGGTATAACCTAACAGAGCTACTAGCGTGGCTGTAGACTTCAGTTCTTGCCGGGAAGACTGGTTGCCCCAGAAAACAAACCAACACGAGCCACACCTTTTCCCTGTCTTTGTCCTGGAGCCCTGTACATACAAAACAAAGCTTATATAACAGCTCACTTGGCCTGGACTCACAACATTCCCATTTACCATTCCTATATGTTTATGTACAATAACAATAGGTGTGCTTTCTATAGAGTGGGGGTGGAGTGGGAAGGGGGACATGGGTGGATACTGTTCCACATCGTGAACCTCGCTTTCCTTCCTGCTCTACAGGAACATCTGTCTCCAGACCAGCCCTCGACCCCGGCCCATCCCGTCCTGCCACAAGAATGAACTCCTCGACCCATGGCTCCCGTGCCTCCATCGACATCCTGGAGGAGCTCCAGCTGATCGCTGCAGAGAACCTGGAGAAGCTGGACATCAACAAATACTATGAGGTCGTCCGGGAACTGGGCAAGGGCACCTACGGGAAAGTTGACCTGGTCATCCACAAAATCAGAGGTAATAACTAGTGCTGCAACTAACGATTGTATTTCCCTTAATCTGCTGATTATTTTTTCAATCAGTGGATTATTTATTTAGCAGTAACCCAAGTTAACATATTCCAATTTTGACCAATATTGAATAATCTGATCAATTGTCAAAGACCGAAAAACGTGGGGTTTACATCAGTGAAAATCAGGAACCTAGCAAATATGCACAGGCTGGAAAAAGTCAGTTAATTAAAATTAATTTTCTGTCAATCAATAAATCCACTAATCATTTCAGAGCACTGGTTGGTTTCTGGGTGCCCAGACAAGTAATGATCCTGCCATGTGTGGTAGATGTCAGCAGGGGCCCAACAACAAATTGTTGCCCCAGGGTCCCGAGGAGTTTAATCTGGCCATGCTTCTGTCTAAAGTCATGGACCCGTTGCTTAAAATTTCAAAATAATACTTGTGTATTTTTACATTATGAATCCAAGACTTTGACTTGTAATGTCCGTTATCTCTATTTTACTTGAAGTAAATGATCTGATTTCTTGGGGTTTTGATATTTTAATCCAAAAGATGGGGAAAGGAAAGCACAGGATCCAACAACGGTGAGCCCATCTTTCTTTGGATGGAGCGGGACACAATTTGTTTCAAACACCACTTGCGGGTGAAAACAATTCCCCCAGACTCAGGTTGCACTTGGAGAAAATGGAATGTTGTTCACTTTTGTGGCCCTGCTTTGAAATTCAGAGTGACGAGGTGGAGTCGTTTTACATAACAGTCATTCAGAGTGCAGCTTTAAAACACTTCCATTTCACAGCAACAGCAGCATCTACTGAGAGAATCACAAATAATGGTGGTTTGTTTTCTCTTTCCATTGCTCAAACATATAATCGGTGCACAGGTAAAGCGCTCGTATTCAGCTCTGAAGTGTTTACTTTTAGAAATGAATCCTGAAAGCCAAATCTGAGGTACTGTGCAATGCCTTTTTTATGAGGTGATGCATCACAGATCGGGATCCAGGCGACCTGAATTCACTATTTAACAAACACACAATGTGTTCAACCTTTTGACATTAAAAGCCAAAATGTTGACCATCTGCTCAGAGCCTCTTAATCTCTTTTATGGAGCACAAAGCCTTTTTAGAGTGGCTGCACTCTATGATTGTGACCTTTTCTGGCCACTAAAATGTGCAGTTGAGGGATGTATGAGAAAGCACGTGTACCTGCAGTTTCATGATCTGCCAGTGTGTCACCGACATCTTTTCAGAAGCATCAGAGGACCAGTGTGGCTTTAACCGTCTGCCCTCAAATTTCTAATGCAGCTCTGTGTAAATGTCAAGTTAACCGTGGAAATAAATGGGCTGAAGGCAAAGTCATTTCCACCCTTTTGAATCATAATTGTGTGCAAATGCATTTTAGCGAAGCAGGGAACTCTGGGCTAAATCAGAATGATTGTAACTGTTAAGTAATGGCCAGAGGCGCCTTATTGACACGCTTAATATTTCTTTTTGGAAAGAAGTAGGTATGTCCTACTGCTTAACAAAACCATTAAATATTGATTATCTGCCAATCAAATCCAGTTCAATATGTTTTATTTTTTCCTTCATATCACAGCTGCACAGAATAAAGAGGCTACAGAAACGTGTCATGAAAATACAGTAGTAGTATGTCAGTAAGCTGCTGAACAGCTCTGCTCTAAATAGATTCTGCATGGTTTCCTGTAGTAAGAAGCTGGAACCAGAAAATGTTTTACTTTTTTATTATATTGCTTAAAAAAAAAACAGCTGAAAGCACTAATTGATTATCATAATAGCTTCAGATTATTTTTACATTGATCTACCAAATCTTCTCAGGTTGCAAATTTCTTTGTTTTGCTCAAACTAAAGTCCAAAGTCTTAACATATTCAGTTTTGCTGTGGTGGTGTGGTGTTGATTTCAAATACTACAACACACTAAACAAAATATTACAGGAAAACATAAAAAAAATCTGGAGATTCAGCCGGTTTTCTTTTCTTCTTCTGCGGTTTCATTGTCTGTTATTCTAACCTGAACATCTTCAGGTCATGTCATCCTGGGCTCTGGGAAGTTGTAATGGGTATTTTTCTTACACGTTTGGTTGTAAACAGCTGCCTGAATAAAACCTCTGTCATCATTGTTTTGAAATGTTTTGGCTCCATATTCACCATAATGTGAACCATCTTTTTGTCCATTTTGTTTACCGTGTTTAAATAGTTGACTGAACAAAATATGCTGTTTTTTAAAGTTTTTATTTAGTTTTAGTTTCTGCCCCAGGACACTCACAGTTGTAGCTTCACAAAAATCAGCTGAGTTTCCCTGAACAGATGGTGTTTATTTCTGCATTTTAGCCAGCAGGTTAACTTAACAAAGCAACTAATATTCCATGTAAACATGAAACTACTGTAGCGCAAGGGACACAAGCCGCTATTTGTTGGCTTCTGTGTGAATCAGATGTGTTTACAGCAAGCTGCCTGGCCAGGAATGTATTTATTTACTCAGTCTCTGTGCTGCGGTCCAGCTTCACTCTTGTCGTCAGACTTGTTTACACACGTTTTGGCAGTTCACACATTAATGTTGCTGCCTGTGCATGGAGTCAAAGTCCAATACTTCATGTTTCATTAGTTACTCTTATGAAATAAAATTGCTAGGAGGCCTGAGGAGAAGCTTCATTTAGTGGGTGTTGTAACCAGTCCAATGGGTACACTGCAAACCGGAACTGCTAATACCAAATTCGGCTACTTTTAATGGTGCCAGTTTGCCACAGCTAACTCACTGAATTCATGCCAACATATACAAGATTATAACATCATACATCTCTGAAAGTATTTTGGTGATTGTAGCAAAACATAGAGCATGATAGAAGAAAGAATATTTTTGGATGACCCGTCAACATAGGGGAAACTCTTCTTGTATTGTGTCTTTAAGAACAAACCCTGAGCCCCCTCTCGACCTTTCCCTAAAGAGGCTGCGCGCTGTAAAAATGCACGCAGCACTTTGCAGAGCTGATCCGGTGGTATTGGAGAAGTGTCCCCTCTCATCTCTGCTGACACACTGACTGTTGGTGCAGGGAGAGGCAGACGTGGCAGCTCTCCAGGTTTATTGTCTGGGGTATTTCTTGCGGCTTTCAGATTAGTCCTGGTAATTTCTCTTCACTCTTGTTCTGGGCACCAAGTGGCCGCTGAGGGGGAGACGAGGCGAGTCGAGCCTCCGAACCATGTCCTCACAAATTGCCTTTCTGTGTTCCCTCCAGATGACTAAAAGTGTTTTTGTGCATCCTCTTCATTATTATATAAAGTGAAATGATTTACTTCAGGGTAGAATGAAACTCATGTCTTGTCTTTGGCTTTCTAATCTTATTACCGGCTCTATATGAGGACATGCTTGCAGCTGTAAACATCACTTTACTGCAAAATCCCTGCCATGAAAGCAGATCAACATCCTGGTCACTCTGTGGGAACATGACTTGTCTGGCAGATTTTAAATACTCACAATATAAATCTACTGGTGAAAAAACCATCAGGATTTAATTCAGTGACGTCGGAGAGCTTAATTATTCATGAAATTTGAAATGATTTTAATTAAGTTTCTTGCATGCAGTTAGGCGGCTGTGAAATAAGTCCCCAAACACTTTAATAGGGTGGAAAAGAACAAGAAGTGAGGAAAGAGATTGGAAGTTATGTAACTGTTCTGTGTCCTCGTTTTTCAGGCACAAAAATGGCCCTGAAGTTTTTGAGGAAGAAGACCACCAAGCTGAAGAGCTTCCTGCGAGAGTACAGCATCTCCCTCTACCTGTCACCCTGTCCGTTCATCATCAACATGTATGGCATCGCCTTCGAAACGGACGAGTACTACATCTTCGCTCAGGAGTACGCTCTGGCCGGAGACTTGTTTGACATCATCCCTCCACAGGTGAGATGGGCTGAGACACAGATCTGTAGAAGAGTCTGGGTTGTAAGCATATAGTACACAAGACACCATCAGGGCCGAGGTTATACTGGGAGAGAAGTGGTTCGTGAGACGCATTGTCCAACCACGAACAAGGAGCCGATTGTGACGTCCCTCAAATGAATACATGAAACAAACAGAAATGTCAGCTCATGCTCTTCTAATTACAGCATCTTGTTGCACATTCTCTTATGCAACGGTTAAATGTCATCCAACTGGAGAATTTGAACCAACTCTGAATCTATGCAGCCATCGGTTCTGATGGAGTACACACTGCGGTGGCACCTCGCTTGTAAACCTGCATATAACACTGTCATATGTGTAAAGGATTTCACTGTTTATGTGATTTTGCAGAGGCTTCAGATAAAGATGGCATTAACATATTGCTTCAGCCTCCACAGCATTGATGTCAAAGTGCTTTGAAAGACAAACTCAATGATTTCTATTATTGCAATCAGAAGGAATAAATCATTTAATAAACATCTGGGCCCATATCATATCTTAGGTCGTAAGTCAAGATAGGAGGAGTATAATAAAATAAGTAAATAAATAAATTTGGTATTATGGAAGCAAATTTTATCTAACTTTAGGAATCTTATGTTACTTCATCCTATCTTATCTCAGGTTAGGAAATCCTAAATACTCAATCCAACATTGGTAATAAACTTTTATATCTGTTTTACTTAAGTTTAAGTTTTTTGGATTAAAACCTTAATTTTAAATCACCAGTTCGAGAGGATCTCCTGGACATTTTCAAGCACTTACAAGGTGAAACACATTACAATGTTAAACATGAGTTTACAAGTGAAGCAATAATGATGGTTTGTCTGTCACCCACAACCCAGACACATATACACATTAAAAAGATGAGCTGCGAGCTACTGTTACATTACATTTTCATACATATTTCTGTAAATATTAAATACTCTTTCCTTTATTTTACATTGGAATAGCTAGAGTTCATTTTAACAAAATGATTATCTCTGAATCCCCCAAATATTGGAAAGTATTTTTCGACTAATTTCCAGAGAAGTGACAGATGCATATGCCATGTCCCTGTGGATTACACATTGGCATCCAGTGCTGTTTACTGCTGTGTTATTTTTTGTGCCTGACATTTAGTTGTCAGCTCTGTGGAGAGTCATCACTCCTGGTGCCAAAACACAAAAATCCACTGAACTTTTACTGTGAAGAATTACTAACATAAAAGAGCAGTGAAGGACTGAGTAGGCTTTTTGACCTGGCTCCTTACGTTATGACTGATCAGGTGTTTTGGGAATGAGAGAGTGTAAGGATCTGTTCATTTTGAGCAAAACTCAACACTGAATTCAGTTCATTTGAATCAAATCCTTGTGACCAGAGGATTCATTTCTAAAATCAAAATACTTCCACATGTGACTTTTGCTATTGATCGACCACACAAATCCAAAATATGCTACATGAAGCTATAATCCGAACTAATATCAGTTCATACACGCTAACACTTTACTTTAACTCCCCCAAATTTTCATTCATAAGCAGCATACATATTGAAAATGGTTTTGAACACTGTAATGCAGCAGTAAACAGGGTCATTTCTTTAAAGTTGTTTAAAAACACCTTAATAACATTCATCTGCTTACTAATACATTAAAGTCTTATAAACCATTTATTACATGTTTATATACTGCTTATAAATGCTAAATAGGGCGACTTGAGGTTGAGTCTTACCAGACACTCTTATGTGTTTTTAATGTGCTTTGTTGTCATTTCTTTATCAAGTTAGCTACTGTTGCTAGTTTGCTAGCTAGGTTCAGCTACCATAATAAGACAAACCCACTTATAAAACACTGCTCTGTAGCTACTGGTGGTCAAAGACTCCACAGGGCACCTTTTTAAAGAGTGACTTCTCAGACAGGCTTTTTCCACAACCTGTAATGTATCATGGCACTACAGGACCACACTCCATCCCAGCATCCCACCTTCCAAAATCTAGTGTGGAGCTGCTCTTTAACTCAGTGGCGTCCTGTGTGTCCACCATCACTGTTCTGCTCTCTGTTCAGGTGGGACTCCCTGAGACGGTGGCTAAGCGCTGTGTGCACCAGGTGGCCATCGCCCTGGATTACCTGCACTGTAAGAAGCTGGTCCACAGGGACATAAAGCCCGAGAACATCCTCATCTTTGACAAAGAGTGCAGAAAGGTCAAGCTGTCGGACTTTGGCATGACACGGCGTGCCGGCTCTCCGGTGAAGCGCGTGAGCGGTACAATCCCGTACACGGCGCCCGAGCTGTGCGACACCTCGCGGCACGAGGGCTTCTGTGTGGACTACAGCACGGATGTGTGGGCGTTTGGTGTGTTGCTCTTTTGCATGCTGACAGGAAACTTCCCCTGGGAGAAGGCCATGCCGAACGACGCCTTCTACGAGGAGTTTGTCCGCTGGCAGCGTCGCCGGACGGGCACGGTGCCTTCACAGTGGCGCCGCTTCACCGACGAAGCTCTACGAATGTTTCGCCGGCTCCTCTCCATCGAGCAGGAGCGTCGCTGCTCCGTCAAAGAAGTCTTCAGCTACTACAACCAGTGCTGGATGTTGGACACGGAGAACGGGAACAGCAGCAGTGGAGGTTTGGCGAACAGCGCTCCTCCTCTGGACATCAGCTCGTCGTCGTCTGAAGAAGACGTGTTGGTGGACAGACTGAAGCAACAGAGCCTGTCACCTGCCTGTGTGGTGGCGAAAGGGAGCATCATGATGGACACCAACTACTCCTCCATGTCCACTAACAGCTCGCCGTCCTCCACCGGCAGCTACGAGCGGGTCAACAGAGAAAACAACGAAAGGGGACGCATCCTGGTGACCACACCCATCGAGATCTGTGTGTAGAGGCCGCTGATGCTGTTTTACAGGCTACCTGCTCACACGTGAGGCTGGTGTGAGCTGAGGAGGAAGATTTCTCCGAGTATGAGAAACAGGAGAAAGGTAGATGAGGGAAGTGTGCCGACAGGTGTTTGGCGTCGGGGAAACTATCAACAGTCTGACATAAGTTGTAGCTTCACTGCGGATTTAATCATTTCTGATGAAGACGAACTCTGAGGAAATGACCAGTGAGACAATCACACGCTGTAGCCTCCTGTATGTGGTCTATACTTCAGTTACTGAACCAGTACAAGGCACGAATTTCTGCAGACACCTGTAAAGAAAAAAAAAAAACTGAAGGGAGAGCAACAAAAACGAACAACATAATCCATAAGCAATATGTTCAGATGTTCTGGAACAACCCAATCACTGCAAAAATAATCTGAAGAAGAAGAGAAGGATGTGATTGGCTTTCAGTTAGATGATTTGTGCATAAAAGACTGATGGTACTATTGTGTGTTTATTGTAGTGTACCATTTTCATGTTTGGTAGATATGTTTTTTGTGAAGTGTGTGTTTTCTTATTTTTATTTGGACTTAAATTATTTATTTATGTCAGATGCATATATTTATGATTTGTTTTATTGAGTGGCAGAAATCTGAACCCTGCTTTTTTATTTTCTCTCTGAGAAATAGAATTAAAATTAATGAAAATTTGAATTGCTTAAAAAAACAAAAAAAAAGAAAAACAGTAGAAGCAGGCCATTTTGGCTTTCACACAGCTACATTTTTCTTTAAACTATTTGTCATCATGTTGTTGTTGTTGTGGTCTCTCATAAAAGTAGATGTATGTAGACTGTTTTTCTCTCCCAAAATGTCCCCCCTTCATGTTTGAACCCACTGTACAGTAGCAATCAACAATACAAGTGGCTGAAAACACCTCGTGGTCAGCAGCAAGTGTTATTATTAGGTATCCTCTTATTTTTCTAACCAGTCCTCCCATTAAACTGGGACCATAACTGAATACTGCTGCAGCACAGTTATCAAACACTTTTCTAACCATTTGTAAGGTGGTGAATTAACTAAAAAGTAAATTTCCTTTGTGATCACGTACAGTCAACTACTTGCATACCAAAAATAATCCTAATTTTTCTAGTTGCATGGTTAATAAAGAACATGGAAATTGTAGGCTACCTTTCATTGAGCAGTTACCTAATTATCTAAGAAGTGATAAATTTGGACTTCTTTCTGAAAAATAGGCAATATCCTGGAAAGGTCCTAAACATTTAACAGGCTATGCCGACTGAATAGTGACTGAATAAAATATGAATTCTGTAAATGGGGATATCTAACATTTTTCTGCCCCCTTAACCTTTTATTCCAGTTTTTGCCGTATTATTCATTGGAAAGCTAATGTGAAATGGGACGGACGAATGTAGAAAACACAAAAGTCTTTTGGATTTTGGGGATTAAAATGTTTAAGAAATCTCAGTCTCCTTTTGTGTTTTTCAGAAGTATTGCATGAATATTAATGTGGTGAAAATTTGTTGAAATAAATACCCTGAGGAAAATAAAAGGAAAAGTGGCCTCTGTTCTTTGTTTTTGTTTTTTTGTTTTTTTTAATGAAAGGAATAATTTGATATTTTGGGAATAGGCCTGTCTGCTTTCTTGCAGAGAGTTAGATGATAAAATAGAAGATACCACTCTCTTACGCTTACATAAGCTTAGCTTAGCAGAAAGACTGAAAATAGGGCAACACTAGCTTGGCTTTGTCCAGTAACAAATAAAACAAAATACAAAAAATTCTCTCTGATAAGCTAATGTTAAGCTAACGGGCTGCTAGCTGTAGCGTAAGGTATAGATCTGAGAGTGGTATCAATGTCATGTAACCAGCAATGTGAGATGCTGAAAACTAAGTCAATCAAATAATATAAAGTTTTATCATATTTCAAGAGAAACTATGGTAAATTCAAAATATCGAAAATTTACTCTATGAATTGCAGCAAAGGGCGTTTAAACGTCTGTGCCGTGAATGGATACTGAACAGGCTTACCAGGCACAGGCCCAGGTGGTCAGGGGGCCCCTGATCTTCACCTGCAAAATATCACAAAGAGCGACACAAAACAACCACATGCAAAATGATGCAACACTACCACGACCACGTGTATCAGGCAGCAGAGTCCCTTTGTGGTTTAGTACAAAGAGATGAAAAAAAATTTAAAACAGACACCAAACAACTACAAAGAGATGCACAACAGAGAAGCAAAGTTACCACAAAGAGATACAAAATGGCCACAAAGAAACACAAAACAACCACAAAGAGATTAAACAGACGTAAAATGGCTAGAGGTGCAAAACAGCTAAAGAGATGCAATGATGCAAAAACCACACACTGCCAGAGATGCAAAATGTCCACAAAGAGACGCAAAACAAATACTATGCAAAAGGACAACAGATGCAAAATGTCCACAAAGAGACGCAAGCGGTCGTCAGAAGACACAAAATGACTGCAAAGAGAATGAAAATGACCACAAAGATGCAAAATGTCCTCAAAAAAGCACGAAGCAATCCCAGAGATACAAAACAGTCGCAACCAACAAAACTGCATGGTTTGTGGTCATTTTGTGTCATATTCCAGCCCTACCATCTATGGACTAACGAACTGACTGCAAAGGGCTCAAACTGTGCAGGCTGTAGGACACACCGTGTATCCTGGTGTGTAAGCAAGTAATGGGTTACAGGTAAATATCTTAGCACTAAAAACCAAACCAAATTGACTTGATGAAGGAGCTTCTGAAAGGTTGTGACGTTGGAGTCTAGTGAGATGTGAAGAGCTAAATTATAGTACAAATATGATAATTACTGTGCACCTGGCAAAACTGCATCTAAGCCTCGGCAAAGAAAGTGAATAAGTGTAATTTCCAAAACGTTGTACTACTCTTTTCAGAATGGGAAAAAAAACTGTCTCTCATTGTCGAAAATAATGTTAGCATCATGTAATGTGTTCCTACAGACAGATGGAAATCCCTCCTTGTGTTTTATTTAATGTGCTGTGTGGACTGTGCGTTTTAGAGTCTCCGACAGCAGATGAAACACTGCAGGAAATAATGTTGTGTGTATTTATTCCACCGGGACGTCACCCTCCTCAAACCTTTCTCTCAGTTCATCAACAACGAAAAAAGGAAATAATCAGAAATGGGGCTGGACTCTGATCTGTGAAATAACTCGATGCCAGCTTCTCATTTCATTTGATCAAGCTTCAGATTTAAAGTCAAGAGATCAACTCGTATCAAGATGAAGAACGGTTTTATCAAACACAATAAAAACAGATGAAAATCCAAACCATTGCATGCATTTTCATGGATTTCAAGCTGTATGTTGGTCACATGATTATGCCCCAATAAACTCACAATGCCCTACAAAGCTGGAAAACCACTGAGGCATGTTTCTGGCTATAACGAGCAGCGTCTGCCTCCAAAACCTTGCTGGAAGCTGAATTACATAACTCCCATGTAACACACTCCCACCCAGGTAGGACTGAATCTGATTTAATGTTGCATTGAAAAAAAAATACATACATCAAGAGAAGATGAGCCAAAACTTTCTTTTTATGCAGCAGAACAAAAATTTAAATTGACTGCAGATGTGTGCATTACAAAGCGTTTTTACAGACTGATAAGAAAGAGAAGGGCGAAATTAATCTTCACAATGTCAGTCCAACAAAAAAAAAAAAGAAGCTCAGTCTGCCTGGATAAAGAGGAACCAAGAAGTAAAAAAAACAGCAAAGTGCAGCTGAGCTGGAGAGAAAATCATCCAGTAACCCTGCATGTTCAGCATAGCAATTACAGCTGAGCGCTGCAATGACTGATCTCAGTGTCTCTCCCACCACCATGTTTACATATTCACCACCAGCAGAGAAGGAGAGGGGAGAGTTTGGTACTTAGAAGACTTTTATCAAAGAACTACGTGCTGTGTAAGATATAAGACACGAGGACACACTAGGTGACCTCTCGTTTTGCTTTGCTTTTAGTAAAACACATTCAGGTGTGTGAATACCTTTTGAAGTCAGAGCTGAAAAGCACTTCATCACATAGATCATGCATTAGCCAGGCTAGCAGCAAAATTAGTCGGTCGGTCAAGTCCACCATTTTGGTCCAGACTGAGATATCTAAACAATTATTCGATGGATTTCCATTAAATTTGGTACAGACATTTGTGGTTCCCAAAGGGATGTCTTTCCTTCCAGCGCCACCATGAGGTTGATATTTGTTGGATTTTAATAACTGGATGGATTACCATGAAATGTGGTACATTTATATTATGCCCCCCCCCCCCCCCCCCTGCAAAACTAACAACATTCCCATCAGCCTCAGCAGCAGCCACACCAAGACAGTATCAGCTTAATCCCTGAGTGTAATGAACTGACTGAGTTTGTTTAATTTACATATGAATTTAACTTTTCTTTTCATTTAAAAGATGCATAGAGTCACTTTAAACAAGTTTACAAAACTGATATTTGTATCCTGATTTCACAGCTACAGCTTTCACCAAACATGCAATCACACATGAATAGAATCCTTTTTTAAGTTAAGTCCCTTGTGGACATGTTAGTGAGAGCATCCGAGGCTGGCTGAAGAATGTAAAGATGGAAAAGAACAAAACATGCATGTTCCCTAGAGAAACAGTGGCTCAGAGGAGAGTATTTGGGTTTTAAAATATCTAACTTGCAGTACTTTGAGCTTCAACAGACAGACTGCGATCTGATTTTGTGCTTAGATGATTTATACTGACACAACATGAGCCACTAAATCATGATGATCCACACAAGCTTACAAACATCTTACACAATTTGATCTACAGCATGTACTAAATGTTCCCCGCTCGCTGACGGTTCTTTCTGCAGTGTATGTTCTTGCTGATGTTTTTCAATATGACGCAACAAGACACAGCTCAGAGAGGAAAACTGCAAGTTTTTTGCATGTTTGACCTCGTGTCAGTTTCAGCAGCAGCAGCAGCGTTTTGCCCTGAACCTCCTGCAGAAGCAGCAGAGCTGTGCTACAGAGATAGTGAGGAGGATTGTGATCGGAAGAGCCTGTCAGTCCTAAACACAGAGATAAGCCTGCAGCCTGAGCGAGGGTTGGGGGAGGTAAAGAACTGAACAGAAGGAAGATAAGTAAAATGGCGAGGGAAGAATAATAAAAAGGGAAAAGAGCTATAAAAGAGGAGAAGTAAACAGTGAACTGGAGAAGGCTTCAGGTGCAGCTACAGGCTGGAATGGCGTTAAAGGAGCGTGTGTCCATTTCAGCTACAAAAATAAAATGTCATTCAGCGTATCAACAGAACAGAGAGTCTACAGCCAAGCTAGCAGCTTGCTGGACTGAGGCACCATCGTAGTTTGTTCCACCGCAGATCTGCTGACCAATCACTGCTCTCTGTTGTTGTGCTGTTGTGTTTATGCTTTTTATCCAGACATCCTATGCTTTTATTAATTCACTTATATCCTCTTAATCATGTCTGTGTTTTTATTTGATTGTAATCATCAAACAATCCCATTACTTAATCTCTCTGTAAAGCACTTCAGTGAAGGTTGGTTGTTTTTTAATAGATAAATAAATTGATTTGACTTAATTTAGCATGCCAAATACTGGACATCATACTGTATGTCAGTCTGGGCTGCAGTGGTGGACCGACCGCCATCTGTACAACCATGCTCCTAACATGGCTAACAACTAAACCAACATGTTGAGTCTTACTCATTAGAGCAGCCCTGTGTCACAGAAATTAATATACAACAATGTATAGAAAAATAAATAAAACACGACAATACCTGGGGCCACATACATGACTTGACTTGACCATTGTGTGGGAGCATGATAGCATTAGCCCAAAGCACTGCTCTGTCTAACATGGCTGTAGCCTCCTCTGAGATGACTCAGCAAATCACAAGAATATTAAGTGAACGCCTGATCCCGGTTTTCATCAATTTTATGATCAACATGATTCCTCGACACGGACTATCAGAAAAATGTTGATTCCATTACCTTCAATATATATATAAACTGTTGCTCCTTTTAATTAAATACTTATCTCAATCTTTTATTTAAGAATCTAACTTAGCTGCAGCAGCCTCTCCTGCATGAACACTGCATTGAAGAAGAGGGTGGCAGTATCAATACGCTCACAACATCTCTGGTTGCCAGGTTATTTCAGCAGGTGAGAGCTGCGAGTCTATTCTGAGTTCAACAAGGTGGTACAGAGAGGTGAGAAACACATTCCTCACACCACCACAGGTCAGCATGTCAGTCTGGTAATGGTGCAGTGGAGCTGTAAAATGTTTCCAGAGATAGACTTTATCACTACGACGTGTTGGAACGGAGACGGTCTCCATCAAAGTGAGGCTGTGACTCAAAAGCAGCGCTCAGTGTGAAAATACTCAGATATTAAGTGCTGTGCGTTAGTGATGCAGCAGCACGCTGCCCACAGGTTCAGCTGTTTGGTTTCTTTGAAAATAAAAAACAAAAACAGGATAAATTTGGCTTTTTACCGTACCAGACCCAGCAACAGGCCACTGGTTAGGTGAGGCTTGCACACTCACCGTCAGTCAACACATCCTCTGATCCTTCTGAGCAAAATGAGCCAACTGGTTGTGTCATATTCTACTTAAAGCTGCTATAATCATTTTTATGATAACAATACATTACATGACTATCAATGTGACAATGTGAACGGAGCTTTAAAGTGAGTTTCAGCTCATTATTTATTTGTCTGGATCATAACCTTACTGGTTTGATTAACTCGCAACTTGCTATTCAATGACTGGCCCAACAAAATCCAAACTATTAAACCCTTTTCCTTCATTAAACAGGCTGCAGCCTTCAACAACAACAACATGGAATTTCCATAACTTTTTACTGCATCAGCACAACCGCCACCGTGAGCAAAGAAAACCACAGTGACTTATATCTTCCTCGAACGGCGACGAAGTGCATTCGTTTTAAAATTTGTGCGGCCTTTATTAAACAGTAAAAGGCAGGTTCTACTGGTGTAGCCGAGTACTACAGACCCTGGTCTCAAAAACACCAAACCATTAGACGAACACCAAGAATTACAGCAAGAAGTCGCCCGGATTAAAAGTTGCACTTCAGATGTAGTGGAAACTGTCACTGAATATCAAAAACACTAAATAAAATGAAAATAAATAAATAAAAAATTTGGTCCAAAATGTGAATAAATGCGTATTTCTATCCACTAACCGGAGTTGGTTCAAACATCTGCTGGAGCTAACTCTCCAAACATCTGCCATTAAAACCACCACAGAGGAAGAAATGGCTTAATTAAAAGTCAGTTAAACCAAAAAAAGCTCACAGATGTCACTGATCAATTGGATTACTCGTGTAATCAGTTGTTAGATTTGACATCATCAGAGCTCTAATAAAATGTATTATATCCCTGATTTTTTCATGCAAACCTTAATTCCTCATAATCTATTACAATTATTCATATCACATATTTTTATACCTAAAACAGGTTTGGTTACCCTAAAATAGAAAATATACAATATATCCATATTTAAAGCTAATAAGAGACAGGCAGATAAATGTAGCAGAAAAACACAGCTCCCAGTATTTTATGTCTTACAACATATTTTCTAATATCACAATCATAAGCTCACAAACCTGCTCATCTATCACCAAAAACAGACTGAGGAGAAATTTCCGTCAGTGTAACATCTTAAAACCTTGAAAAGAAAAGAAAAACAGCACAAGTTGTCAGATTTAGTTTGATTCAAATATAAGTTTAAAGATGTTTCTTGAAAAGAAAAAAAAAAAAATCCACTGGAAACAAATATTATTACCAGATAAACCTATCAGATATTCCCACGAGTTCAGGAACAGAAAGATTTCAAGTTTGAGAATAAATGCCTTCAGATATTTGGTGATTTGCCAAAACGGCAAACAGACACACTACCTTCCTTGCAGCGAAAAACATTTTGTTCCTGTGTAGGAGCGGTAGCGACTGTGGATAAAAATTTCTGCACAAATAACAATTGTAAATCTTTTTGAGAGCTTCGCAAAGCAAACACTGATAAATGTTCACTGGAAATGTTTCCTGTCATTTCTAAATCTCTTTTTCAAGAAAAGACAGTTCAGTTTTATTGACCTTTATTAAATAACAATTATCTTTTTATTTCCTCAAATAATAGTAAGTGCAGACATGAAACCAAACTCTGACAATTTACTTAAAATCTTTCTTTTTAAACAATGAATGCCTGTTTCTCATCTGTCATGTCAGTCCAGTAATGATTCATGAAAAATGAAATACAAGACATCATACAAAAATGGATAATTAAAGCTACACTAGGTGACTTCAGCTCCACATGGCAACGAGAGGTAACAAATATATTAAAGGGCCAATTCATGCAAATCACAAAAACATATTTTCCAACTTCAGCTCCAGTTTGACTTCATCAAGTTATGTAATTATTCTTAGTTTTATTTGCTGAGGATCACCCACAGACTTGTTGATAATTTTCAGGCAATTAAAACAGTTGGGAGTAAAACCCAGTAAAATCTGAACACATAGATATAATACACATATTTTTAGATCCCGCTTGACTTATGCTTCCCGAGGATTTCATTGTCTCCGAAGTCAATTGCATGTAGAAGGTGAAAAGAGTGTCTTAGAAAAAAGTCACTCGTTATAACTGCAGAACTTGCCTGAGAATCAGAACATTTTTACGTTTTCTTTGTTAACAAAGTAATTCAGTGACAGTTTCCTGCACATCCATGGGTAGATTGCAAACAGGAACTGCTAATAGCTGATTCATCATATTTTTAATGATGCTAATTTGCTAAAAAAATTGTGGCCAAATACAGGCTAAAACAATGGGGCTCAAGTCGTAGCCTGCAGCATAAGTCACTGAAACCATAGCAACATTGTACTTTGTGTTTCTCTGTCAAAAAACCAGAAACCTGAGAAAAAAGTTTTTAAATTGTGGCTGGAGGGGAGAAGATCTCAAAATCTCTGCAAATAAAACCAACAAGACTGAAACTAAGAATTGTTTCAATTATCGATTAAGATGTGGATTATTTTTACTGTAATTTATTGTTTTGTCTGTAAAATATCGGTAAATGGTGAAAAATGCCTATCAAAATTTCTCCAGAGCCCAAAAGCGACATATTCATCTTGTTTGTTTTGTCCGACCAACAGAACAAAACTAAAAAAGGAGGGAAAAGGAGCAAATCCTCACATTTGACAAGCTGGAATCAGTATTTTTGTTGGGCATTCTTGCTGGAAAAAACTACTTAAACAAATATTCATTTAAGTAATTTTTTTCCTCAGCTCTAAAAGCTAAAACTATCTGAATTAGACTTGGGGTGAGTGATTTTTGTGATTTGGTTGAAGTGACCTTTTAACAGAACATTTTCTGAAATCCCTCTAACATGACATAAGAGAAAAATTTACCAGCGCTGCCACAAAACACAGAACACTGATACTTGCATCTTTTGCTGTGTTGTTGCTGTTTGTCAGTTTTAAATTTCCACATCCTGTTAGCAGAGAAACATCTAAACCTGACACCAGAAACAATTTCACTGGAATATGGTGAATGTACAGTTTGTGGTCTCACTTAGTGTGGATGGGAAATTTTCTTCTGCGGGCCCTACTTTGTGATTTAGACAGAAATTCAATATTTTTTATATATAAATCTTGCTTAGTGCAGCTTTATATTAAATTTAAATAACTGTATTAGAAAAGGAAGGACAAAGTCTACAAACAGACATAAACGGCTGAAAATTATAGGATAAAGTGCATCATAGCAAACATCAACTGTGCATGCATCTTGATGAAAATAAATTATGTTATGACTGAAGCACAACAGAAACAGTAATAGAAAAGTAGTAGAAAAACAGTAGAAAGAAAAGTGGCCTTATATAAAGATATTTTACTCTATACAACATATTAATAAAGCTAATTTAAACTCTAATATATTTATTTATGTTCAAATAATGAACTGTATTTGTGACGCGGCTAGTCCAAGTGTGGATCTTCAAGAGGAGGAATAAATACAAAGTTCCACACACACACACGCACGCACACACTAACACACACGCACGCACACACTAACACACACGCACACACACACACACACACACACACACACACACACACACACACACACACACACCCCATCTTGGCTCAGTCCAATTGGTGTAACTGCCTGTGTTAAAGGCAAACCTACAAAAGAACAGAAATAGAACAAAACAAAGACACGTCTTATAAAAGTCCTACAGTGGCCCCTGGTTTGATCTGTCTGTCATGACAAGTGAAATCTTACCAGAAGGTTTGTCCTTCTGCTCGAGCACACACATTAATTAGTGTTATAAAACAGCAGAGGTGAAGTCAGGCAGCTCACGTCGCACCCTGAGGAGATCTGTGGATCGTTCTGGGACAAACACAAATGACATAAAACATGAACATAAACTGATTTTATTCTTATCCTTCAGAAGTGCTCTAAATACAAACAATTAGAGCTGCAACTTTTTACAGTCAATTAATCTACTCATTATTTTCTCAATCGATCATTTATTTTGGTCTATAGAGAGTCAGAAAAGAGTGAAAATGTGCATCAAAATATCCTAGAGCAGAGGCTCAAAACTGGTGTGGCCCCACCATGAATTCAAGTATTTATTTTATACATTATATACTTGAAAATGAAACAATTAATCAATTATCAAAATAGCTGCTGAGGAATATTTTCCTAATCGATTAATCGACTGATTGATTGACAATTACAATCACCTGTCGTCAAGACAAATACCCACCTCCAGTGCCCCCACGTCCTCTGCATCATCTCTTGTGTTGTCTGGTTACACTTGTGAATGGTTTGTTCTGTTGGATGCAAACACACATCAGTAATCGATAATAAACAATCAGTAATCAATAATAAACAATAAAGAAAGTCACCAAAATATTTTTTTCAAAGTGGGTATGCTTTGACGTTTTTCAGATAAATGCAGAATTAAGTAAACTGGTCTTCTGTTTAATATTAAACTAAACTTAAACTGTTGTTACATTTTGCACTGTCAGTGGTCCACACCACATGTAGTAAACACTTCACATGAGATACGATCAGGCTTTTCAAATGCAACTTTACGAGATAAGTTTTTCAGTGAGCTTCTGTAGTTTTGTAGTTAGTGCAAATTTAAAAGGCTGTTTTTACACAAATTACACATTTCTATGGCATCATATACTGTAATCTTTTATAAAACACAGGTCAAGAGGTCAGATTGAGGTCTCACATTGCACATATTTATTTGTATTATTGTATTATATTCATATATTTTTTAATATATTTACACATTTTTATTGTAAATATTTGATTTTTTTTATTTATATTTGAGCTAACTGACATGCAGTACTTGCTTTGTTTTAACTTTCTTTATATTTTTCTTCTTACTATGTTTATTGTTATGCACCAAAACACCAAACACCAAATTGTTGTATATGAAAACTTACTTGGCAGTAAACCTGATTCTGATTTACTGGGTTTTATCTTAGGTCAGTGTATTATTCAGATTTACAGATATTAATTTAGCCTGAAAACACACACACACACACACACACACACACACACACACACACACACACTTAGCGGTGCAGGAAAAAAAAAACAGCTTCTGCCACCTCATTTGTGTTCAGGCCAATATCGACTTGTAAAACATATTGTTCCCTTTGTCCTTTTCTCATTTGACACTTTTGTGTTAAAAACCACATTTATCATCATTTATTTTTTATATGTGCTGCTGCTCCTCTCACTGTCATCTGTTTGTTTCTACAGTGACAAGGATTTGATGCTGTGGGGCCCATCATCTCCATCCCTCACACAGTTAGTTTGTGTAGGATGGAGTATGTGGAAAAGTACAACAGCCTAAAAGCTACACTAGCGACCCCCAGAGGCCATGCAGCTCCTCACACTTTGATTAAAGTCTTTTAAACCGACGAACAGACTTTTCAATGGCAGGATCAAACTCTTTGATTTTTTCTGTTTACCTTGTGCTCTGTACATCTCATTGAGAAGTTCTCTTCATTGAGGACGCAGCCTAAAAAACACACACACACACACACACACACACAGAATGAGCTTCAAAGACTTTAAGTTCATCGTTTCATGCTGAGTGAGAATGACAGCCTTCAATTAACGTGAAAACACGTACACAAAAAAATAATCTCAAAGATTCGTCATTTCAGGCTGAGCGAGAATGACAGCCTTCCCACACACATAAGAAAAAGCACAAGTGACTCAAGCTCTCACCCCTGAAAGATCTGTCACTTTTAACACGTTCACAGTCAGAGTTGACACAGACAGGCAAAGGTTTTAGGAGCACAGAGCCAAGACATTAAAGAATCATGACAACAGAAGAACGTCTCTATTTATTTACATGAGGGGCAAATACTGTGAGTAAGATAACAACAGTTTCCATTTCATCCCTATATTAACCATGACACACAATCTGACAGTACCTGACTGGATGGCACATCTGTAGTGGTAGTTTCTGGGACAGCCCTTCTGGAAGCAGCCCATTATTGCACCTGTTTGTTGGCATGCTGAACACACCTGAGGAAGAGAAACACACACGTGAGAAAAGAGACAAACATGGCATCTCTTCTTTATGGTTTTATTTTTAACAGTGCTGGGTCTGTGAAAGTATTTTTCATGATATACACTGAGTTACCAGTTTATTAGGAACACAGGGATAAAACCTAATACAACAGTCCAGCAATAAATCCTCCGTCATGAAGGTTATAAAGTTCAGAGGTGCTGATTCAGCTGTATGATCACTCTGGAGGATGTGTTGGACTGCACTAGCTTTAGTTTGATGTACCTAATAAATTGGAAAGTGAGTGTATATTGATAATCAAATGTTTTTTTCTACTAAGCAAAAAAAAGCAAAAATCTTTTTCTGATGATTGATAAACCAAACAATTACTCAATTAATTGAATAAGAATAAAGATAATAAGATGAATCACTGATGAAAATAATAATTAGTTTGGAGGATTGGTTCACATTTGTTAAAGTCTGTCTGGCTGGGAAAAGATCTCCTCCTCATGTAATTCCAATGCCAGTGATCAGGGATCATCTTGTGTAAAAATAAAGAGTCAAATCATGACGGTATCTTCTAAAGTTAAAACAGATGAACTTTAACAGTCATTTTTGGGTTTTGTACTGAAAACAAGACGTCTGATGATGATCTGAGAAATTGTGGTTGTCAACAATTTATAGACTTAACAATTAACAAACAAACAAATAAATAAATAAATAACTTCCAGATTAGTCAGTAGTGAAAATAATTGCTAGTTGCAGCTCTAATCCACTGAAGCCTCTTATTACCTTTGGCTGAACTTTCCTCCATCACTAAAGAGCACTGGCAGGGGTCTTTTCATGGCCAGTTTAGACAGGGGGAATGATTACAGCAAACATTAGTCTTACTAATATCACACTATGACTAAGAGTTTTCTTATTCAGGTGATACATTCTCTGTAGGTTCATCACTACAAGCAACTGCTTTCACATTGTTCATCGATATACTGTTATTATAAATATACTGATTATAGCTGCTTTTTAAATTGCACTTCTGTCCTGCTTCATTCATGGATGCATTTTCGAAAAGTTAAAGGTTTTTAATGTGAAGCAGCAGCTGTTGGGTTATTATCAGTAACTTAACACAGCTCTGATACATTGCTCAGTGAGGCTGTTCTCATTTACATCAGCAGACAGATAATTACTGACTGTAAATACAGTAGAACAACAACTAAAGATTACTTTCACTACCAACTAATCTGCAGATTATTTTCTCAATTCATTCATTAAATGTTATTCGATTACCAAAACAGTTGCTGATTAATTTTCTGTCAATCAAATAATAAATTATGAACCAATTAATTAATCAATTAAACACTGCAACTCTTAAATACATTGAATGGCTATTGACAACCATAAATAACACCAACATTGAGTTTGATTTCATGAGAACGTATAAATAGTAATGTTTTACTCAGAATCTACTTTGACATCAACAAAACACCAAATGTTCCTGTAATTATTATGACTTCACAAAAAGTTGATAACAGTAACATTTAACAATCACCAGGTCCTAATTCTGAATAAAAAGACTAGAGCCAGAATAATTAGCCGATTGATCAATAACTTGATTGACAGAAAACTTTTTTGATAAGCAACTAATCGCTTTAGTCTTTTTTTTAAAGCAGAAATCTCAAACATTTGCTGATTCCAGCTGTTTCAATGTGAAGATTTCATACTTCTCCTCGTCATACATGACAGTAAACTGAATATGTTTTAGTTTCAAACAGTTGGTTGGACATAACAAAACATTTGAAGACGTCACCTTTTTACCATTATATTGACATAACGATTATTGGCAAAGATAATCTGCCGATTAATCAATCACAAAAGCCCCAAAAAAGTCACTGGTTTGTGTCACTCACTGTTTCCTGTGCGAGCCGAGCCGCCTCCTCCAACCCGTACAGCTTCCCTCTGACTAGGAAGACACCGGTGGACCAGATGCCGCAGTCCTCGTGGATCCAGCACTCATCCAGATGAAGAGGCACCTTTGGGAGAGAGTTGCTGTCTCCGTCATGCAAACTTTTGACAGCGAAGCAGTCACGACCATCACAACCACCATCTGAGGAATTCACGGAATGGCTATTAGCGAGTCCGTGTAAGTTCTCTTCCTCTTTCTGCTCAGTCTTGCAGTTCTGGCAGTCCACAGACGGGCTGCCAGGGTAGTAAGGGCCATGAAGGTCCCCGAGGCCTGTGATGTTGGCCGTCTGACCGCACAGGCAGCACAGCAGCATAGCCTGACACCTGCTCTCCGAGCTGAGCCGACCCAGCTGGAAGCAGGACGTACTGGGAACAAATCCAGACAGAGACCTGGCAGCTGGTTGCTGCTGTCCTCCTCTGCTGCTCCGCACTGTCACCTCCTCTTCTTTGTAATTGACAACGGTGCACATCCTCTGCTCCACGTGAACAAAGGGGCAAAAACTGTCAGACTTCTTGTCTTTTTTATCCCCTTTGATCTTTGCATATTTAAGCTTGATTTCTGGCTCTCTGGGAGAAAACAGAGCAGAAGGTCCCGTCTGAGTTCGCTTTTTACTCTTCCGTCTGGTGACCGTTTTTTTGTTTACTGATACACTCCTGCACGATGAAGCCTTTTGGTGCTGCTGTGGGGGGATTCTGTGCGTTTGCTTTTGTTTGGTTCGTCTTAACTTTTTCGTTTTTTGAATGGTGAGCGGCTTCTTTCGTTTGATGTTCTTTGCGTACGAAGCTCTGTTATGAGGCTGCTGCTCACTCTGCACTGATTTCTTCTCTGTCCGATCGTCCACATCAGACTCCTCTGAAATACTGCTCACTCTCTCGGACACATTCTGCTGTGAGACCGGCTCGTCTGCCTCTGGGCTGGACAACCTCACCGCGTACTCCATCATGTCATCAGAATCACAACTTTCATTATAGATACCCACCGCATCATTTTTGACCTGTCTCCTCAAACTGTGGCGAGACACACTGCAGGTAAACTGAGGCATTTCAGAGACAGGTTTTCTGATTCTGGGACTACGTCGCACTTCTTTAGGTGGATCCTTTTCCGCCTCACTCTGAGGGGGAGTTTCTCTCAACAGACTCTTCTTACAAGGAACATTCTTCTTGTAAGGACAGGTGTGGCTTTTCTTCTTTTCATTAGTGACTGAAACTTCGATAACGTCGCTGTCATCGCTGGAAATGTCGACGGGAGATTCAGCCGGGTTGCCGTAAACAGCACTGAGGTCTGACAGGAGGACTACAGGCCTGGTGTGATGAACGGGAATGTCCACTGAGCTGTCTGAGGAGTCGTCTGAGTACGAGCTGTCAGGGCTGGGCGAGCTCAGCGGCTGAGGTAGGTGATAGCAACTTCTCCCCTCATCCAGCGAGGACACAGCCGGGGACAGAGGCTCCACGATGTGCCTCACGCTGTCTTGGATGAAAGAACTGCATATGAGCGGTTCCTTCGCTGAGGAAACAAGGAAAATAACATCAGAACCGCTGTCGCTCTCCTCTCCGCCGCTGCTTTCAGGAACCGGCCCGCCGCTTTGGTCGGGCCCGTAGAAACCCGGATGCCACAGGTTGCTGTGAACTCCGTCGTGGTACAGATCCAGCCCCGGAGCTAGTGTTGAATTCATGTAGTTACCTAAAGTCTCAGGGCCCTGCTCCATGTCTCTGCAGTGGACAAGTGCTCCTGGCTGCGTGGAGAGAGAGTTGTAGGATGACGAGGCTCTGGATCTGTATGAGGAGGCGATGTCTGTGCTGCAGCTCGGCGGGCGTCGGTGGTACCACTCTGGCTTCTTTGCCAGGTCCATGGCTTCAGTGTGGCTGCGGGTCAGGGGATTGTAGCTCTTTGACAGGTCCATAGCCATGAGGGATGGATCCTGTGAGGACACCTCCATCACTGCAAAACAAAAATATATTTATTTCATTTCATGCCGTTTCTAAACCGTCCCTCAAAAGGCATTAAAGGAGAAGCTGCAGCTGAAACATAATCTTTGCTAGAGTTGCAATCATTAATCATTCAAGAAAATTTATCAGCAGTGATTTTGATCATCTATTAGTCGCTTCTCAAACAAAAGTAGACAAATATTCGGATTTCAGCTTCTTAAATGTGAAAATCTGCCACTATTCTATTTCATGCAGTGGGGTACATAAGTCTGAAGCTACTTCTTCATTCACTTGAATGGGAAAAGCCACAAAACTTAGTCAATAAGTCAATGCATAGAAAATTTATATGGTAGCTAATTTGATAATGGAATCATTTTTTAAGCAAAAAATACAAAATATCCTGGTTTCTGCTTCTCAAATGTGAATTGAATGTGTGAATATCAAATGTTCTGGTTTCTGTGGTCCTCTGTGACAGTAAACTGAATGGCTTTGAGCTTTGGTCTCCAGAAGACGTCATGTTGGGCTTTAGGAAATACTTGACATACATGACATTTTACAAACCAAACAACTAGTTGATAAATCAAGAACATAAATGACAGATTCATCAATGATGAAAATAATTAGTTAGTTGCAGCCCAATAGGAAAACATAAATATGCCTATTTGGCATAAGGTTTTACTACTTTTACTGTATTTTCATGAAATGTTACTGTAGCACCAGTATGTTGTGTAGCTGTAATATAAAGGAAAAAATAAACACAATGCAAATATTGGATTGTATTTGTTTGACAGATACACAATATTAAATTATTCCAATCATTACTTCTAACTGAGCTCAGCGATTCCCTTCAAATGTTCAAGTCCAAACATCATAAATAACAAGTTTATGACAAAGAAAAGCATCAAATCCTCATATTTGAAAAGCTGGAAACATTTTTGGCATTTTTGCTTAAAAAAATTACAAAAATTATTATTAGATTAACTGAAATATCTGCTTGTTAATCAACCTTGTTAATTTAAGGACTAATTGTTGCAACCCTGAAATATATATACGGTGGTTATTGAAGGAAAATGTAAACCACACATAACACCAAAAATTAAGTAATATCTCAAGACTTTGACAGAAATCTTTAATATGAAAATGCTAAATGTGCCTGTATTCATATGTTTTCACAAAAAATGATAATATGAACACTTAACCCCTAATTGATTTGATTAAGAGCTGCCAGATTGACAGAAAACCATATATATAATTAATAATTTTTTCGAGCAGAAATGCCAAACATTTGCTGATTTATTGTCAAAATCAAAATCCTCTAATACATCTTCAAATACCTTTATTTGTGTGCAGCACAATGTAGAATCTACAAGAACATAATTTATTTTAAATTAACACAAACAAAATCTGCTAATTCTCACAAACAAACTGGCAATTTTGGCAGAAAAAATTACCTTAAGATTAATTTATTATCATAATACCTGACGATTAATTTTCAGTCAATCAACTAATCGATTAGGTCTTCTTCAAACAGGTAGGCCCGTTCCGATAACCGTTCGTGAGTAATGTAAAAGGTAATACAAATAATAACACGCTGTTCTGTAAATGTAACTTACAGTAAGTATATTTAAAAGTTAAACCTGCTGGTGAGTTTACCCCTTAGGTGGCAGCTGTTGGATGGTCGACCCCCGGGCTTTAGGATGTCACTTTCCCCCTGAAACAGCTCTGGTAACAGGGTTAGCTAACACACCTCTCCGGGCCCATCATCATCATCAGAACTGGATGTAAACAAAAGCAGCGACGGCCCGAGTTCATGCTAGCTGGTTAGCTAGCCCCAGTCCGGCTAAGCTATATCCAAACGGAGACGACACTCGACGCGACGACCAGCGATAAACATGTTCGCTAACGCACGCAGGTAATTACAACCCCCCTGGCTACTGTTGGTATTTCAAAGTTGTCATCATGGACACCTTCTTCCTCCAGAGTCAAGTCACACTGAAACAACATGGATAGCACCGGAAGGGAATTTGTGCCTTCAAGGTAAAAGCTCGTCTTCTTCTTCTCTGCTGGTATGGAGATTCTAATTCTAGAATGTAAGCCATTGGTAATGATAATAATAATAATAATAATAATGAAGTCGGTCCTCACTTTCTGACACGCCTTCAAGTGAGGCTTAAGACTTGGTTTTAGGGTTAGGATTAGAATTAGGTTTAGATAGGGTTGAGGTGAATGTTGGGTAAGGGGGAATGCCTTATGTCAATGAGTGTCTTCACAAAATAGAAGAACAAATATGTGTGTGTGTGTGTGTGTGTGTGTGTGTGTGTGTGTGTGTGTGTGTGTGTAGTGTGGTGTGTGTGTGTGTGTGTGTGTGTGTGTATTTTTCCATCGAAGCAGCATCCATTTTCTGCCACTTATCTGGAGTCTGGTCACACTGGCAGCAAGCAAGATGCAAGTCCAGATGTCTCCTCCCCCCAGCAGCATTTTTTCATGTGTCTATTTTTTTTTTTTTTACTTACTGGCTTGTAGATAATATGTTTATATATGCCTATTATAATTTATCACTTTTCTAAACAATGTCCAGTCTTTACTCCAGTATCCTTTCTGTTATATGTCTCCTTGGCTTCCCTCTGCTTTTCTGTCCTCGCTCTGTCTGTTTCCATCTCTTTGTAAACTTATGTCCTTCATCTAAGTTATGTCAGCAAACAAATTCAAAATAGTTCTCGTGAATTTAAAAACCTGGCATGTGGGTGTTCATTATCATTGGTTTTACCATGATAAAATAAAAATAAAAAGCTGAAATGTCTCTGGCTGTCATCTCATGTCCCTTTGAAAGCAAACCTCATTATAATAGGCTAATTGGTCAACATACAAGTTTGAATACAAATTTAATTTGTTGCCTTTTACATATTTGAATTTGGTCATATTTTGAATTATTAAATGTCAGTTATATTGAAACATTAAGTGAATATGTGTAATTAACAGGTGGGTACCAACATAGTTGAGTATTTACAAAATGCAGAGACCAATCAACTGTTCCTGCACATTTTGACATAACGATGTGCCAGGCCTTCATTTTCAGGCCACACCATTGAAACAGACTCTTCACTGGGGGCTGTCGATGTTTGTTTCAAGGCTTCATTGTGTTTGACAAACACAATTACACCAAGCAGTGCCTCCCCACCTGGGAGTTTTTCAGCATGCGGTGTATCACTCCACACACACATCAGGCGAGTGTGTGTGGAGTGGTACAGTTGTATTCACACATAATAAGTCTATTTATAAAATGTAATTAAATGCACATTTACAGTGGCCTCTTTTTGAATTATGTGTGTTTGCATTATTATGGGAAAATTATTATAAAGTACACAACCGTAGTAAGGTTTGGTCAAATGAACAACAGCATTCTGGGTTAAATGGTAAAATCCAGCACATGTTCTGTCCCATAGTTACACAGCAGTGGGGTTAAGGTTGTTTTTTATTTATTATATTATATATAAAATATAATATAATATAATTAACTCCTAAAGCTGGAATGGTGAAAGATGTGGATCTTTAGCTCCATAAACTGCAACAATTTTCCCTCAAATTTTCAAAGAACCATAGCTGGATCTCCAACCGGAAAAAAAGTCCTAGTGCCTAATGGGCTCAGACCCCCCTGGGGTTGCAAATTTGTTAGAGATTAGTATGTAAAATCAATCCTTCAGCCAAAAAGCATTCACAGGGTTAAAAACTGATTAGGTGACAGAATAGACTAGAATTGAACACAAAAAAATCATAACATGAAATGCACTGGAACACGTGACATTAAAAAACTTTGAACCTTGACAACCCTAATACTCAAAATCTGCTGCCATCATCACACGCCAATACATGCAACACGTCAATGTGGGCTTTTATTTTGAAATATTAGCTCGGACGTTATCTTTATTTTTTAGGATACCTTGACAGTCTTCCTCCTCCGGAAAGAGGGCTCAATACTGTCCAAGCCTCAGTATTTGTTCAATGCACCTTTCAAGGTATCCAGATAATATGACTGTAGCAGCCATGATTTTTTATCTTTCCTGTTAAAACCGCTGCTGATGTTTGTCTCATTTTTGCCAGACATGAAAACAAAAAATAAAACGAGGCTCCAAATTTGAACCCTGCAGAGACCTGTGGCACGATGACAGACAACAACAAAGTAGACACAGCGTCGGTTTAATATGCCAGTTCCATTTAATAAAAAAAATCTATTTATATTAATAACACTTCAGTGTACAAATATAAATTACAATTTGTGTCTGACAGATTTATCTGCCTGTAAAATTACCTGCCGGAAATGTTTATAAATCTGCTTCATTTAAAAATATTTAATTACTTAAAAAAATCAGGTCACATACAGCAGTGATGAGAGGCTGGACAACAACTCACATGTCTGATAAACTGTGCAAGTCACATCAAAGGAGAACAACAAGGCTGTACAGAAAAAATACTGTATATACAACACAACAAAGTAACCATGAATTTTTTATGGTGATATTTGGTCAATACATGTAAAGACAAAAGAAAAAAAATTAAATATAAGTTTGACATAATCATCACAATCATAGGAATTAATCTAAAATACTTGGTCCTGACAGGTTTATCTCCAAAACTGAAATCAAAACCAAAAGTAAAAAGGTGAGACTGTGGATAAGAGTCCCTGGACTTATTAAATACATCAGTTCTTTTGTTTTAAATACATTTCATGAGAGTAATACTGAGGGTAAAGTACTTTTTGTGACAGAGAAGACAATTGTAATGTTGCTATTGTCCAAAGTGAAGAATTCAGGGTGAAGTCTGGTCCAGAGCCTGATGAGCCAGCCTCAGATTTTCTCTCAGGTCGTCCATCTCTCTCTCTGTTTGTGCTCTCACGATGCTCAGCTCAGTGTACATGTCCTTGTACCTCTTTGTTGCGTTCCTCTTGTCCTGAAACGTGACACAGATCTGGACCTTTAGTGTTTACCAAACTGCTAAAAGTAAAATTTTGGACGCAAGTGAAAGATAAAAGAAAAATTCCTTCTCTTAAGAATTCAAAAATTTAGGAATAAAAAACATTTTTCATTTGAACATTTGATTGGATATTTATTACACCACTTTTTGGGAGTTATCAGGCTTCAAACAAACAGCAAGAATAAATCTGACATTGATTTTATTTACAATCAGTGTCTAAGTATCTTTGTCTGCACTTGTTAGTGTGAAACGAAAATTGGTTGAGTCCCTTTGTTCACACATTTAACAGTTTGATTTAACACAATCAGACTGTTGATTCTCACCCTTTGTGCTGACTGCAGCTCATCCTTCAGAGACGTGATCTCCTGCTTCAGACTCTGCACCTCAGACTCCTTGACTCGCAGAGTGATCTGCAATAAAAACTTCAACTCATCATCATCTCTTCATATCTTTGGAAAAAAGCTGAAGTGCAGAATCAAACATCTTGTTCACACTCAAATGGCACCCATGAGCATTTTTACAGGGATAAGTTACAGTACCCGTGTCATGGGTGACATCTAGTGGTCCAGTCAACACCTGGTGTAAATACCTTTGAAGTTGTAATGAGTGGGGCTGTTACTCTGTCATTAGATCAGCTGTGGTCAAAATCTGGGTCAAAATCACATGGTCACTTAAACCCACTTGTGTGTGGTTTAGTCTGAACCAGTTGCTGTGTCCTGTAGAAATCACCTTAAGAGACTTAGAGCTCTGTCAAAACTGAACTCATCGATATTAGATATTCAGCTTATAGAAAACATCAATGACTCTTTCTCCCAGTGAGAAAGCTGTCACGCTCCAAATGTTGTAGTGGTCCCTCCTTTACGCTTTAACCGTTACCTTTCTCTCCCGACTCACCTCCATCTCGTAGATGTCCATCCCCTGACTGAGCGGCAGGTCGTCCTGTTTGGCCAGCGAACACAGTCTGGTGATCTCTGCTGCGAGGTGACCGCTCAGCTCCTGCACAAGTCAAAAACAACACAACACTCACTCACACTTTGTTTCTTGTCACACAAATATCACTAAAAGTTAACAGATTAAAGATAAAAAAAAAAACAATTCCAGTGATATGAGATAAAATACATTCTGAAAAGAGGATATAATTTAAACTGAATAAAAAGACAAATAAACTAAAGTAAAAGCTCAAATAAATTGTCTTGTTTTTCTAAAAACAAAAATCGTCAGAATAATTTGAAAGAAACTGCAATAATATATAAAAATTCTACATATATGAGGCTTTTAGATTTTCGAACGAGCCGCAGATATCTTGACATATGGAGCAGAATATTGATGACTAAACTAAGCGAAGATCTATTTGTTGGTTTTGTACCCTGGATCTCCTGTGGATATTAACCGCGCACAAGAACACACGATGGGTGGATTGAAGGGAGTGTATCACCTGGTTTCTGGTCCTCAGGTCCTGGTTTTCCTGCTGGCACTGACACAAGGCCTTCCTCTCTGCATCCACAGCCTGGACCAGATGCCCGTTCTCCAGACACTTGAGAGAGAACTGCTGGGACAAAACCTCGAGCTCCCGCTGGTAGGAGGCCAGCTCCTCACTTCACAAAGCACACAACAAACACAGATGTTAAACACAAACTCTTTTTTTTAAGTTAAGTTCCCTTAAGAACGTGTTGTCCAAAACCCCCTCAGTTACAAACTGTAATGGTCCC